TTAGGCAACGGGAATGGGAACATTTGTTAGGGATTAAATAGGTCCACCCCTTGATTTGGGTTGGGAAAAGGGTTAATAAAAAACCAGGAAAAGACTGGGGAAAGTTCTCATCCCTTCCTCTTGAAAAAGCAAATGACCTCATAAATGACTGGTCCAAACATCCAGGCATGAAAGCCTTCCATCTCATATTAAAAAAAAATTTAGAGAGTACTTCTGAAGGAAATGTTGAAACTGATTAATTTTATGACCCAAAATATTGATGAGAGTGATTGCCTCTTTACCAGTATGAATTAGATAATGCATTAACCAAAGGTCGATCAACTGCTCCTGGAGAGGATGGTATAACCTATGATATTCTCAGAACTCTAAGGAAACGTGCCTGATAACCCTTTGTTGGCACTGTATAATCTCAGTTACATTGAGGGCGTTCTTCCTACTTCCGGGACCAATAGTCTCATTGTGCCTATCCCTAAGCCCCAACAGCCTGATACATTTAGGCCGATCTCCTTAACAGTTGTCTTTGCAAACTTTTGAAAGAATGGATGCTTAAAACAGATTGTACTACAGAATCAGACATCAATTTTCCCCCTCCCTCTAGGGTCATGAAAGGTAAAAGTGTGCAGAACTGTATTTCCCCCTTTCTCACTGCACACACCTCTACTAGTTTTACCACTTTTCTTGATCAAAATCTGCATTTGATATTGCAAACAGAACAGTTTTACTACTTTAACAGCCAAAATGAATATTGGTGGTAGCTTACTCTGCTGGATAATAGGATACATGTCAAATGAGTATCCTCTGTCGTTTACCAAGGCTTCAGAAAGTGATTCTAAAGAAATGTCTTAGGTACACCGCAGGGAGGAGTTCTTAGTCCCATGCTATTTAATATTCTGATTAATGCTCTCCTAAATGCTCTACCTGCCTCACCTAAACATATAGCTATAAGCTATGCTGATGATATCATGATCCATACAAAGGGCATAAGAAGATGAATACCATTCTTAATGAAGTTCAAGCAATTTGAATCGACTAGGCCTTATAATATCTTCCTCTAAAACAAAGATATTAAAAAGGGCAACGACATCCCCCACCCATCTATTTGCAGGGTGAAATCATTAGCTACGTTAAAATTTACAGATATCTTGGTGTAGAGGGTACCCTTTAACAAATCCACTATACCACAATAAACAAAAAATGCAAAGCTAGGCTAAATACTCTCAAAGCTGTTGCTGGCACAACCCCCAAACTATGGTGCTAATGTGAGAATCGTGAGAATGATGTACATAGCCTATGTTAGGTCCTTAATTGATTATGCTGCTCCCATGTTGATATTAGCTAGAGAAATTTCCCCTCCGCCCCCTGGAGTTAATGCAAAATGAAGCTCTCAGGATTATTCTTGGCTGTCCCAGTTTCTAAAAAAATTTCTTAACATGGGGAAAGGGACTTGGTATTTCTAGTATCAGTGATTAGGATTTTTGAATTAACACTGTACTCCCGGGATTAGAATGTTGAGAAACGAACCAGGGCACTGTCACAGTGAATCTTACCAAATGTCTAGAGGTAAATACACACAGATCTAAATGGATTGGAAACGTTTCAATTGCATTAAGTTTTTAACCTGCATGAACTGTATCACTGTAGGCAACAAGAGCATTTCCCCCCTCCATGGAAGTGTGTTTATTTAATATCACAACCTACAGTCCCTCCCAAAAAGCTCATTGCTAGTAATCCCTTCCTTAAATCTCTTGTTAGAGCAACTGCTCAAGAAGAAATTTTTCGCCTAGCTGGTAGTAATAAGTTATCACAAGTTATATACACTGATGGATCTAAACAGGAGTCTTCTGGGCAGGGCTGCATCTGCTCTTGTTGCCACCTCCCTAGTTAAGAACGATAATAAATTTGTTGAGTTAGGCATAAGAATTAACAACTGGGCGTCTACACTGCAAACTGAATTGTTTGCAATCCTAATGGCGCTAAAGCTAACCTATGACACTGGCTTGACTCTATCATCATTAGATTCTATGTCATCATTGAAGGCTCTTGGCTCATATTTAAAGACTCCAACAACATGCTCATTGGGGGGAAGCCAGTATAGATACTCAAAAATTAGGGACAAAGGAATTAATGTACAATTGCTATGGATTTCCCATCACCATTTGGATTACTCCTTTATGATAAAGTTGATATGTTAGCCAAGAAGAGTATCCAGAAGGAGAACCCTAGAATATAACTTTGGTAACTGTGTCTAGCATTAGGAAAAATATTAGGATAGAAGTAAATAATGAAGATGATTGTTATAGGAATGCAGTTAGAAGCCTGAGTAGATCTATAACCCACTATGATAACATGAACGTAGATAAGTATGTTTATGGAGCAACTTGCAATGTGAACAGACTGACTGATGTTGTAGTGGCCAGGCTTAGGCTTGGTTACAAGTACTTCTGGCAGTTTGGGAGACACACAGATGATGATCAAACTAAATGTAAATTATGTGTCAGGCATATGGTCACTGTCTTGAACACTATGTGCTTAATTGTCCACTTTGAGGAATACAGAGACAGACAGTATAATAACCTATGTGACATGTCAAGATATCTTATTAATGAAAATAAGATACCAGATATACTAAGCAAATTTCCTAAATTTGCTTGTAACAGATAAGTGAACTATAGATATGTAGATATAAATCCATATGTATTCCTGTTAACCCTTTGGGGCCTAGTTCCTAGGCCTTTTGTGTATCCACATGCTCTCGCGCTACCGTCCACAGGATGGATATGGGGTGCACAATAAACTAGCCACTTCGGTGGCAAAATCTAAGAATTATAATGGCGCATAAGTACTGTCAGGCATTCATTAGATATAACGTTGAATATTTAATAAGTGATATTTCAGTATTATTAAAACTGTTGGCAGACAGGTAACTTTTTGGCATGTTCAGGTAGAAAGTTCCATTTTTTTTTTTTCATGTGCATGGAGTTTCTGAATGAATAGTTAACTTGGTGTATCAAAGAATTAGATTTTAATATCGTTATTATGCATCCTATACCTAGCTATTTTAAGTTTATAAACATGACTGATTTATATTGTATTTTGCAACTAGGCTTTAAACTACTGATCAAAAATGGTTATAATAATGACCATTAATTTTTAAAGGGGTGGAGGGGGTAAGCCAGAGGAAGGCCTCGGTCAGATGACCAAAAGCTCCAACGGTAGGTCATCATATAACTAAGACCGGCGTCAGGAAACACTTGTCCTGTTTCCTGACGAACCTTTCCTAACCTATCAATAATAAGATATTACAAGGACCACAGTTGTTAGTATGTATGATAATTGTACTTATGTGTACCTGTATCCCTGGAGAGGTTCCGGGGTCAACGCCCCCGCGGCCCGGTCTGTGACCAAGCCTCATGGTGGATCAGGGCCTGATCAACCAGGCTGTTACTGTTGGCCGCACGCAACCCGACGTACGAACCACAGCCCGGTTGGTCAGGTACTGGCTTTAGGTGCCTGTCCAGTGCCTGCTTGAAGACAACCAGGGGGTCTATTGGTAATCCCCCTTATGTATGCTGGGAGGCAGTTGAACAGTCTTGGGCCCCTGACACTTATTGTGTTGTCTCTTATCGTGCTAGTGGAGACCCTGCTTTTCATTGGGGGGGATGTTGCATCATCTGCAGAGTCTTTTGCTTTCATAGGGAGTGATTTTCGTGTGCAAGTTTGGTACTAGTCCCTCTAGGATTTTCCAAGTGTATATAATCATGTATCTCTCCCGCCTGCGTTCTAAGGAGTACTGGTGTACTTCAAGCGTTCCCAGTATTTGAGGTGTTTTATTGCAGTTATGTGTACCGTGAAGGTTCTCTGTACATTTTTTAGGTCAGCAATTTCACCTGCCTTGAAAGCCTGTACCTATAAAAACTTGCTCATCTCCAGATAGAACTGAGGCTGCGGGTTAATGTTTATACTAACATAGTGTGAAAGTAGTTCTGGTCCACTTCAGGGTGTCCAGTGGTTTAGTTGAAAACACTCTCGCCTCACACATCGAGTCCATGGTTCGATCCTCGATACGGGTGGAAACACTGGGCGTGTCTCCTTACACCTACCATCCTTGTTCACCTATCAGTAAGTAGGTACCTAGGTGTTAGTCGACTGCTGAGGGCCGCATCTTGGGGGATAAGACTGAAGGAGCACAAAGAAAATAAGACAGACTTCTATATGACGCACTGACTATTTTGGGGTATCCCAGGTTTCTCACCCTCCAGGTTAAAAATTCAGAATATCAAGGTTATATATCAGAGAACATCACAGGCACTATGGGATGCAATGAAACAAATAGCTAGTCTATATATATATATATATATATATATAATATGTATATATATATATATATATATATTTATATATATATATATATATATATATATATATATATAATATTTATATAATATTATATATATACATGTGTGCGATAGGCAGAACTTGCGATCTTGCTTAATAGCAACGCTCATTTTTGCATATAGACAAGCGAAAATTTTGTATGCAATAATTTCCCAAAATATTCTAACCTAACAAAAAATATATATTCATGTGTTTTTTATATAAATTATTGTAAACAATCTAAAATATATATAGTTGGGTTAGGCTAAAATAAATTGTTCTTGTTATAATAGGTTAGGTAAGTTTTCTAAGATTCTTTTGGTGCAAAATTAAAATATTTTTCATAACATTAATGAAATAAAATATATCATTTAAACCTATAAGAGAAAATTTTAGAAACGACTTAATTTTAAATGAGTCTTGCTAATTGCCATTTTACATATTCGGCACGAATATATATATATATATATCGATAAATATATATATTCTATATATTATAATATAAATATATATATATATATATAAAATATATATAATATAAATATATATATAATAATGACAAAAAAATACTGTTTATAAACTTGCTTCGTTAGTTATAATGTAAAGAGGCAAGCACAGCAGCAATATTTGTTTTAGCGTTTTTTACTTATTGATAATTGTATCGAGATTTAAACGTGTACTGCTTGTCTGGGGTCTTCACGTCCCCGAGGTTTCTCGTGTCCCTGACTTGCGTCTCCCTCAACTTGTCTACCACCTCCGTCCGTAGACACTGCAGTTTCAGCACATATATTCAACCCGCTCTGCAAACACACGTCTCTCTCGCCACAGTTGTCCACCACGTCCGGCAGCTTCTCACAGAGACACTTCATCGGCAGCGTTTTTGGATTCACCTGGCGTTCGTTGACCTGGATGGAAATTGCACCTTCGGGACATCCACTGACTTGCCTTAAGTGAACACTATCACTACTTAAATGACTTCCCGAATCATCGTCAGCTTCGTACTCCACTTCACTCACTTCTAGTGGTTGACCTGGAAAGAAGTCATCCATGTAGAGCTCAGAGAAGTCTCTAATGCCAATCTCTCTCACGAACTCCACGAAGTCCTCCATGACAGCTAGGGACTCGGGTGAGTTCGATGAATCGTCAGCTTCTGCGTCTTTCTTGAGTATCTGCAAATAGTACTGGAACCACTGAAGTGGCGTGCGGGTCTTCCACTCCTCGGGGATGTTGGGACTGCCCTCGAGTCTATGTCCGACGTCTAGCAAGAGAGAGTCGTCTTCAGACAGACGTAAATCCTGGAGCATCAGTCCTTTTGTGTTGCAACATGCACAACACCCATCCTGTGGCGGCTGTTCATCCACCTTGCTGTTACTTATGTTACAGCTGGCATTAGTGGTGCAAGATTGGCGATTGTTACCTGAAAAAACTTGTATTCTAGTTCTTTCTTGCATTTCTACTTAGTTTATTATATTTCATGCAACAGTAACACATTAATGCACCGTTTTATATACAAAAAAAATAATGAAATAAGAACGGTTATTGACCTGTATGGAGAGAGTAGTGGGCCCTGGTGGAGTGCACCTCAGCCTGGGTCGTCATAACTGAAATCTGCCAAATGAAATCTTTATTATTTCCTAGTTTAATAATAACGGTGAAACCAAACGAAATTAAAGTGTAACACACATAATAGTTATACCTCTCATCCTCAAGTTCATTAAAAAGTTTACATTTCAATCTCTATATACCACTAGAACAATCTATTGTAATTTGTGACCTCGGTATCTTCATCGGTGCCTCGTTCATTATCACTGTGTTCACGATTGACCATCTGTGTGGCGACACATTGCAGGTCTTCATCTCTCTGTGACCTGCCGCTCCTGCAGCGGTCGTAGACGATCTCTCCCAGGACAAGGATAACACCGCTGATGACCCCACCAGCGACCATGATGAAGATGCCCTCCAGGTTCTTCAACCCAAGACGCTTGGAAAAGTTTGCATCCAGTTGGTCCTCTTGGCATATCGCCCCATCATTCCAAATCCACACCTTGTCCAGGTCTTCCATATAGCCTCCTGGAAGTGGTGAAGAAAGTGAGGAAACGTCTAGTAACATTTTATATCCGACTTAAATACCAGTAATAACAATAAAGCCACAATACTATGGCTGAAAAAAAACTAACCCACAAACTACACGACGTTGTGATCCGTCCATCATTATCACTCGTGACTTGATAATGGTCCAAGAAGGACTGAAACCCCATGCAAACTAATAGTTTCTAAGTATTTAATATAATAATCTGTGAATGTAGGTGAGTGTCCTGACTATAACAGCTGATTTAGAACAAATTAAAGTTTTATATCCACAACTAATATTTGATCTAACTCTACTCAATCAGAAATACATATGAATAATTCTTACTTAACAAGCACCCATTTCTGGGCTCATTTCTTAAACCCATTATGTGCCTCTAATCTTATGGCCAGTGACCACAGGATGGGTATGGAGGCGACTCTCCCCCACATAATGAATATGGGGTTCCTACAGATTATAAGATAACTATAAAATGCTTAATAAACTATCAGTCTAGCTTACTTTCGTGCAGATCGAGGATATCGAGGGTAATCTTGTCTGCCCAGGGTGACCCCTTCTTCAGGCCCACCCCGTAGCCAGAACGGCCGAAGAGCTCCCCGACGGTGACTAAGCTGCAATCCCTCGAGGCCTCGTACTCCAAACGCGAGCTCTCCCATATGAACGCTTGAAGGCTCCTGTGCAAGGGACAACAGGCTACTTTGTGGAATACAGAGCACTCATAAAGATTCCACGGTAATAGAAAGTACCATTCAGAGTGTCCTACTCACTGACACACTAAAAACAAGACCATCTCTTAATCCGTTCGTGCATTATATATAGTGAAGCGGAATTCCTTACAGAGTTTTGTCCATCATCCTAGCCTATTTTACAGTCTAAATGAACCTTAACCCCTCTCCATCAACCTAGACTATTCTACAGTCAATCTATATAAACCTAGATCCTCCCCATCAACCTAGACTATTCTACAGTCAATCTATGTAAATCTAGATCCCTCTCCATCAGCCTAGCTCCCTCCGTATTAGCGCCACACTTACCCGTCACGTAGTGCCTGAAGTGCCAGATCTACGGTAGGATAGTTATGCGCCTCCATCACCCGGTACATGTTCGCCCACTCCGTCTTGCGGCGGAAGAACATGTCCACAGCTGACCCTCTCACTGTGGCGAAGGTAAAGTTCTCCACTGGGTTCCTCAGCTGTGGGAGTGATATGTTGACATAAAAATAAGAATTACAGTAGACCTACAGTCTAGTTAACACTTAACCATTTTTACTTGTGTCTATCCAATCCTCCAAGCTCCTGTGGGCGATGTCTTACCTACGTTAGAGACACAAGTGGGTGAAGTGATGGGTGTACTAAAGTGAGAGAGAGAGAGAGAGAGAGAGAGAGAGAGAGAGAGAGAGAGAGAAGCCTCAGCTGTGATAAAAGAGAGAAGTGCGGGGAAATCTCACTTGTGGTACTGAGATAAGCGAGAGAAGTTTCAAGTGTGGTGCAGAGAGAATTTAGCTTATTTTCTTTGTCATGTACCCATATCCATTCAGTGGGCGGTAGTCAAAAAAGACTACAGAAGCACAAAATGGGTCCAGGGACAAGGTCGAAAAGTTTTGATAGCTAAACAATTTACAGCGGTAATAAGCTGTTTACATGTTTATATCTGGTTACAGTCGTAATGAGTTATTTATGCAGATACGAATGAAGTCACAAAAATATTGCAAAAACATTACATTATATTTTAGCAAGGTAATGCTTGTAAAAAGATTTAAGTGGTTATACGTTATATATAGTGGGCAAAGTCAGGGCATTTTTCCAGAATGGTTGGTAATAAACCACTGTGGATAAAATACATTGAACATTTCTGAGTGAGTTGTCTCTGAATTAATTTTATCCCATTCCAGTACACAATGACGCAAGGTGTGACAACTACCCATCTGGCAAAGTTAATTTACATTTAGTTTGGTCTACATCTGGTGGTGATGATTAAACTTGCCAGAGATCCTGGTAACCCAGCCGGAGCCTGCCAGTAGTGATATCCACTAATTTGCTTATTTTGTTAGATGCACCACAGACATGTGGCTCAGAGAGAAGTGAGAGAATTCTCAGCAATTTTTACAGATTGAAATAAACAAGTGTAGCTGAGAAGTCTCATCCTATTATCCTTGCTGGACAAGAGATACTATATCCCTTCCAATCTCTCCCTCCTAGTTCTTCCTTTCCCCGGATTTTCCCTTATCTTTGCTGAAGATTATTATTAGAATAATGGAGCGCAAAACCCGTAGGATTATACAGTGCATGTGGGGGGATGGGAGGCATTCAGGCTCAATTCAGGGAACTGGAGCACAGATCCAATTCCCTAGATCAAGAGCCCCTCACCAGCGTCAAGGAACCTCCCTTGAGGGGTCTTTGCTGAAGAGGATCCCAGAATAGAGTCGAAATTTACAGATCAATCACAGGAGTGTTTCTGGGGGTCGGAGATGTGGGTTATTATTGAAAGCTGAGAAGTTTTCATTACACTTTAGTTATTCATTGACTAAATAAGTAGAAGAAAAACCCCAATGGAAATAAGTCACTTTGACTTCTCTGGGTTATCTTGATAATTTATGTAACTGTATTTATATGTACCTGTACCTGAATAATCTTACTTCCCGCTGTTTGGCGGACGGAGGACTGAGCCTCCACTTAAAGACCCAAATGGGTTTATAACTCGACATCAATAAGACAAGTGCACTCACCCTAGCGTCGTTGATGCCTGTGATGGTGGTGGTGGGAGTGTCAAGCACCAGGAAGGCTGCCAGGTTGGCGGTATAGGAAGCCACCATGATCATGGCGAAGCCTGCCCACACGATACCAAGAATCCGTCCACTCATACACCGCGGAGTTCCTGTCAAAACAACCGCCATCAACAACACAGTAACTGTCAAAACAACCACCATCAACAACACAGTAACTGTCAAAACAACCACCATCAACAACACAGTACCTGCCAAAACAACCACCATCAACACCACAACACCCGTCAAAACAACCACCACCGAAACAGTATCTGTCAAAACAACCACCATCAACAACACAGTAACTGTCAAAACAACCACCATCAACAACACAGTAACTGTCAAAACAACCACCATCAACAACACAGTACCTGCCAAAACAACCACCATCAACACCACAACACCTGTCAAAACAACCACCACTGAAACAGTATCTGTCAAAACAACCACCATCAACAACACAGTAACTGTCAAAACAACCACCATCAACAACACAGTACCTGCCAAAACAACCACCATCAACACCACAACACCCGTCAAAACAACCACTACTGAAACAGTATCTGTCAAAACAACCACCATCAACACAATACCTGTCAAAACCACCATCAGCACCACAGCACCCGTCAAAACAACCACCAGTGAAACAGTATCTGTCAAAACAACCACCATCAACACAGTACCTGTCAGAACAACCATCATCAACAACACAGTACCTATCAAACTAGCTACTACAGTAGTTAAGGATCTGATGGGCAAATGAAATGTATATTTGGGTTCTAAAACAGCCTCTGACTGAGTTGTGGAAATTGCAATATGTAGGAGGGTTAGAACCCGCGATCAGAGAGTCGTACAACTAGCGCGTCGGTCTGGAGTTATATGACTCTTATCACGGGTTTTAACCCCGCCCGTGGTATGGTTTGGTGTATAGTTACCCTCGGTGAGGCCGCTGTTGAGGATGACAGACCAGGAGAACCAGAAAGCTTCTGACAGCACCAGAGAGTCGGTCTCTGCCCCCTCCAGTCTGTAAGAGAGGAGAGGAGGATCACCCACGGCTCACCCATGGCTTACCCATGGGTAGAAATATTCAAGAATTCAGCTTATTCTATCCCTAACACACTCAGATACCATGCACTCGCCCTAAGGCTCTCAAACACGCACTCCCACACTAACACTCTAACCTGACATGTACACACATTGTGCTGTAGGCTAAGTATGTACTCACATCATCCTAAGAGCCAAAGTCATCATGTACTCAACCCAACTCTCTCAAAGACGATCTAGTAAAATGATAACATAGCACACATTCACAAGTACTCGTACATTAGAGTACATACAACTGGACTACAACAATTGAACAAAACACCTCTGAACAAATCTCACATCTTAGTGCTTAATAATTTACGATGTCGCAAATATCGCAAAAAATATTAAGTATTCATCAATTTCGTATTTTTTATCTCTTAAGTAAATTTTTGAAAATTGTCCAGAGATTTTTTTTTTGGGGGGGAGGGGGGGAACTGAAAAAATAATATAATATTAATGGTAAAATTATGAACAAAATATTTTCAAAGAGTCAACTAAAAGTTTGCTTAAAAAAAAGTATATACGGAAAAAAATTACTTCCAAAAATAAAATTGCAAATCAAAACCTGAAAAAAGATATATTATGAAATTATTATGCGGATTTTTTTTAAAAGGAAGGGGGGAGGGGGATAAGGTGGAATTAACCTCATTATACCGAACACAAGATGACCCGGTCCAGGGACCACCTTGTATAGTGAACTCAGTTTCAGTTTCTTGCTTCTTTTTCCTTCTCATATTTTTCTTGTGATCCACTAATTTATATCACATAATTTTTTTTTTTTCATTTTTTCTTCCTTCAATCCGTTCTTTGTTTCCTTAATTCTCTTTCACCCTTCTTTACCGTCTCTGCTTCTGTTTCACTTGAAGTTTCTTTCCCCTTACTCTTCTCTGTTCTGTAATCGTCTCTAATGTTCTTCCCTTTCTGCCTCTCCTCCACCTTTTAGTTCTTCTATCTCCTTTTTGTCTATGTCTTCATGTTTTCCTTTACTCTCGTATTTTTAACACTCCATCAGTTACATCTACTTCACCCTTCCCTCGCATCCTCTTACTCCTATTCTTCCTTCTAGTCCTCCTCTTCACCCTAGTTCTCCTCCTCGTCCTCACTACTCACCTGTACACTGGACTCAGACGGTCCACCAGCCAGATAAGTAGAGCAATAACATGGACGGTAGCCAGGAGCAGCAGCCACAGCGTACCGTGGAAGGGTTGAAGGATTGACACTAGGGCAGGCACCACGGCCGTCTGATCCAAGGCAGGTCACGGGGAGTGCAGGTCAAACCAGGTCACGCCACCAGTATAGTACATGTAAAGTGAACATGAGGTCAAGTGGTGTACGGATGTCTGTGTTAAGGATCACCTGTAACACTCATCCAGTCCCTCTTAGTAGTAGTAGTAGTAGTAATAACAAAAGTAATAATAGTAGTAGTATAAATTGTAATAATAATAGTACCGTAGTAGTAGTATCATAATCATATCATTATGTTTACCATAATTATTTATTATTAGTCCCTTCAATGGAAAACTTGACTGGTGTCACATATAGCTCCCGATTCCCCATGCGTTGTAGGATCCTAGTGGGTTTAGCGCTTCCCCATGAATATAACCATGAGAAAGCCTTACAGCGAACATTATAAATATGATGTTTACCCGCTTGATGAGTATAGTGATGCCATGGTACTTGAATGGCTTAGTGAAGTGCAGTGCTTGCGAGCGCTCTGGACTGATGGTGAGAGGTGCCATGATCATCTCTGTGTTTCCAGTCACATTGACCAGCTGACCTATCATGCCACTCCACTCCTTCTGACCTGCAAGGTGTACCAAGTGTTTAGCGTGGACTTCTCTCTGTGTACTAACCTGTATGTGGTTGTAGGGGGACGAGTCTCAGCTCCTAGCTCTGTCTCTCAACTAGCCGCTTACCAGTCTTGACTTCGAGAGAAAGTGTGTGTGTGTGTGTGTGTGTGTGTGTGTGTGTGTGTGTGTGTGTGTGTGTGTGTGTGTGTGTGTGTGTGTGTGTGTGTGTGTGTGTGTGTACAGAGACAAAGATAAGTTCCTGGTGTTCTCGGTATTTAATGTTTCATATATTTATTTTTAACACCAGTTGACACGCTTATAGCCTAGTGGTGACATTCGCGGCTCACGGGGGTTCAGTTCCCATGAAGGAGGGTCGAGCCTCCAACATTTCACACATTTAAATAATTCGCATAATTACATACTTTTTAGAATTTTCTTGTGTTTCATTTGTTAGTTATATACCGATTTCACATTCTTTATAAAAGATTTCTTACGACCTACTTTTGCCTTAAGTTCTCCCACTCTGTGAAGAATTACTTCTAGTGATCTTTAGTCACCTACTTTTCCCTTGCTCTGCCTGAGTTTTCTCACCTTGGTCGTTGTCATAGCGGTGACCGTAGAGACCGTCAGGAGAGAGAGTGAGGTTGTATGTAAAGGAGTTCCTCTTGGCCAGGGTATGGAGCAAGTCAATGCAGTAGCCCCAGCAGCACATCAACTCCACCTCTGCAGGAGACGAACAATTCAGTTCTTGAGGGAGGTCCTTCATTGATACTATCACCTGTACTGCCTCCCCAAACTAGCTAGGGCTGGACCAAGAATAATGCTGAGGGGCTGTACGAGCCATATTGGAAGGTTATCAGAGGCAGCCTTACACCTATTAGTTTGGTGATCTCTGTTTTGCGATACACGATGATTGGTGGCGCTGCTGAGGGCAGATACTAATCTGGATCCTGGAATACTTACATAACAGAACAGTATCATTCAGTTTCATCAAGCACACCTTGGGTGGCGTATTTGGTCTCTCTCATACACAAACTTGATAGTTTATGTACATGTATTTTCCAACACTCCAAACAGATGATAAACTCTTCAGAGTACCCTTACAGTGTTGTTGTATTACCAGCAGTGTTGTTGTATTACCAGCAGTGTTGTTGTATTACCAGCAGTGTTGTTGTATTACCAGCAGTGTTAATCTCCTACCAGCAATGTTGGTATCTTACCAGCAGTATTGTTGTATTACCAGCAGTGTTATAGCCTACCAGCAGTGGTAGCATTGACTCGGGGACAGAGTTGCTCATCCTCAGCCACACATTCCTTCTCGGACTCAACAGCTTCAGCATACACGAACGGAGTCTCCGGGATGGTCATTACCTGCCGTAGAGGTAACCTTACCGGGGGTACCACCGGTTGATAAGGGTAAAAAAAAAAGTTTTGGAGGGAAGACACTGGAGATTTGGAGGGAGAGGGAATAAGAGGGAGTTTTGAAGGGTGAGCATGGGGAAGCTGGTGAGATTAGGAATATTCCAGGTAGATTTAAGTCAATAAGATTTATTAAGACCTGAGACTAGTTTCAACTAGGTTCGAATTAAGTGAACATTAATGTAATTTAAAAAAGTTGTCAATTATAAGCCATGTACATCCATGAATGACTGGATATTTCTTGATTGAATATCTGTGAAACTTACATTGATGTGTGTGGGGAGGGCGTAGCCTAGCGGAGCCTGCGAGGCTCCCCCGGGCCATACTATCTTGGATACGTTAATATCTAACTTCATCTCATCACTCTCCTGCAACAAAAACTACAGTTATAACAGCGACAACAACTACCAGTACAACAGAAACAACTACCAGTACAACAGAAACAACTACCAGTACAACAGAAACAACTGCCAGTACAACAGAAACAACTACCAGTACAACAGAAACAACTACCAGTACAACAGAAACAACTACCAGTACAACAGAAACAACTACCAGTACAATAGAAACAACTTCCAGTACAACAGAAACAACTACCAGTACAACAGAAACAACTACCAGTACAACAGAAACAATTACCAGTACAACAGAAACAACTACCAGTACAACAGAAACAACTACCAGTACAACAGAAACAACTACAGTACAACAGAAACAACTACCAGTACAACAGAAACAACTACCAGTACAACAGAAACAACTACCAGTACAACAGAAAACAACTACCAGTTACAACAGAAACAACTACCAGTACAACAGAAACAACTACCAGTACAACAGAAACAACTACCAGTATAACAGAAACAATTACCAGTACAACAGAAACAACTACCAGTACAACAGAAACAACTACCAGTAAAACAGAAACAATACCAGTAAAAACGAAACAACTACCAGTACAACAGAAACAACTACCAGTACAACAGAAACAACTACCAGTACAACAGAAACAACTACCAGTACAACAGAAACAACTTCCAGTACAACAGAACAACTACCGTACAACAGAAACAACTACCGTACAACGAAACAACTACCAGTACAACAGAAAACAACTACCAGTACAACAGAAAACAACTACCAGTACAACAAAACACTCCGACACAAAAAACTACCAGTACAACAGAAACACCCCCCCCCATACACAAAACAACCCCCCCCCCCCCAGTACAACTGCAACAAGGGAGTATCAATCCCATACTCATTAAAGGATATAGGAGTAGAAGCACTTAGACAATAAGATTGATAAATACTAACTTATAAATTCTTTACGGAAACAAGCATAAACTATATTTCCCAGGTCAGAATAAAAAAAAAATATTCTTGCATGTGACCGAAGAAAAGCATAAATGAGCTACCAGAGTGCATAACCGGGTAGGCTAAGCTTAAAATATACATATTTTCTAGATTATCAGAGAAAGTCAATTCAGATTTGCTCCTGAGTTACCAAGAGTTCATTGTCACACTTGCCCTCAGCTGAGGCTAGCTTATGAATTATTTCTTGACGACTTCTCCTATTCCTAAGTATATAATATTCCCCCATGACTACATTTATTTCTCCTATTTGCTTCTTCACACTGTTTTCAATTTTTTTCCCCACATTCTTTTCCTCTTTCTCTTGCCGAGTTATCTTTAAATTTGCATCATCTCCACAATGATTTTCATTACAACACATGATTATTAAAACCACTATCAATTTACTATAAAATCATATGTAGTTAACTTGAGTTATGTTTATCTTAGCCTTAATGACTAGTGCAGTCGATAAACTTAAAATCACATTAACCAATCATCTGATTGTTATTCTAGTCTCATTGTTTTATCTTGCCTTGCGCATGTACCCACTTCTACCTAGCAAATGTCTCTCACCTTATCGTAGAAATATTCTCCTACGTGTTGCAGGCTCCTGAAGGGGTGGTCATGGTGTCCTTCCTGAACATTAATGATGGAGTACTCAGCACTTGTCCTGTCCCCTTGACGGTCGAAGGCCACCTTCCCTGTCTGCCCGTCAGTCAACACCTGCTCCTGGATCAGTCTGAAGGAATAAAGGAAGCGAAGCCACGGTTAACTTAGGTAAGATTCGTCAGGAAACATGACAAGTGTTTCCTGATGTGGGTCTTAGTCAGATGATGACCCGCCGTTGGAGCTTTTGGTCAGTTGACCGAGGCCTTCCGCTGACTTACCAGTCCACCCCTTTAAAAATTAGGGTTTTAAGTTTTTCTAGGGAAGCGCCACATACTCTAGCATATATAAGGCGGAATGTGTAAGAAGGAAGATGCAGAAAGGTGACAAATTATTTTTTATATTAATTTAAGTCACAGGTAAAAGGCGACATGTCCTTATGTTTCGCCTCCAAGAAGTGGGTTCATTTAATACTGGCGGACCCAGAGTAGCAGTCGCGGTGATACAGAGTCCACCACCTAACCATAGAAGACCCCTGCAGAAAATATGAAGACAACAACAAAGAGAGAGCATGTTAAGAAAGTAGAGAAAGTGTAGAAGTACGCAACAAGGTTTGTTCTTGAGCTAAGGGGCATGAGCTGTGAGAGGTTAAAGGAAATGAATCTAACGATCCTGGAGGACAGGACCAGGGCAGACATGATAACAACATACAAAATACTCACAGGAATTGATAGAGCAGACAGGCTGCTAGCGGCGGGAAACGTACTCATGGGAGGGGGAGTCCAGCTGGGTCATATGTTAGGAAGTATTTCTTAAGCCTTCGGGTGGTCAGGAAGTGGAATCACCTCAGCGAATAAGTGACACTCTATGCATAGTTTTAAGAATAGATACGAGATTCACCAGAATAGATACCAGATTCACTCCTAGCTCACGAGGCTTGGAGTGAATCTGGCAAGTTGAGAGGCGAGGCCAGGAGCTAAGACTCAATCCCTGCAAGCACATATAGGTGAGCACACTGACCTGAAAAGTTTAGTACCGGTGGCGTCCCAGCTGCCCTCAGCATCACAGGTGACTGGTGGCTCAGGGATCTCCTCCTCCTGCTCGTGCAACTGACGCAGAGCCAACGCCATCACGCGTCTGAGAGATGTTCCATCAACATAATATACTAGGGATATATTTGACTTTACTGGACTATCCTAGGTAATTTATACATACGTTACAAAATGGAAGAAATCACAATAAAACGCTAATAAATGCTTACACACATATCTTCCTCTGAAGATATGTGTGTAAACACATATCACTATCACTAAACACAACTGCGAAAAAGTCTTACTAAACACGAAAGCAATTTCACAGTGTCATAAAGTACCTCGGGTGCCCGCCCCCCCCGCCCCCCCCCCCCCCCCCCCCCCCGGACACAACACTGATCAGATTACTCCAACTTACAGACTGTCGGTGATGTGGCTTCGTAGTCGTCAAGCGTAGCTGAGCTTGAATGCCAGAGTGCCCACGGGGATGTGGTCGCCTGCAGTGCCTGCTCTGTCACCACCACACAGCCAGCGTCCTCATGTTCGAGAGGCGCTCCTGAAGATCATCTCAGCATCTCCCTCCCTGTCCGTCACCCACAGTGATCATGTTTTAACCCGGAAAGCTCTAAATCCTAATGGCATACGATAAAACACACACACACACTGACCCCCCCCCCTCACACAAACACAGTGTGGGCGCGTGACAGCGGGGTTCCTAGGGATCATCCTAGGGCCCGGTCTGTTTCTGGTATATGTGGACAATGACGAATAGACTCCAAAGTGTCCCTGTTGGCCAGATGACGTGAATTGATGAGAAGAATTCAATCGCAGGAGGACCAGGTGGAACTACAAAGGGATCTGGACAGGCTGCAGGCTTGGTCCAGCAACTGGCTCCTGGATTTCAACCCAAACAAGCAAAGTATAAAGGGAAGGGCAAAAGACCGAAACAGAGTACAGCTAGGGCCAGAGATAAAAACCTCGCTCAAGGAAAATGATCTTGGGGTCACTATAACACCGGGCACATCTGAGGCGCACATCAACAAAATAACTGCTGCAGTATATGGGCGCCTAGCAAGCCTTAGAATAGCATTCCGACATCTCAATAAGAAATCGTTCAGGACCCTGTACATCGTGTATGTCAGGCCTATATTGGAGTATGCAGCACCAGTTTGGAACCCACACCTAGCCAAGCATGTAAGGAAATTGGAGAAAGTGCAGAGGTTTGCAAAAAGACTAGTCCCGGAGCTAAGGGGTATGTCCTACGAGAAGAGGTTAAGGAAAATCGACCTGACGACACTGGAGGACAGGAGATAGGGGGAGATATGATAACGACATATAAAATACTGAAATGAATTGACAAGGTGGACAGAGACAGAATGTTCCAGAGATGGGACACAGCAACAAGGGGTCACAATTGGAAGTCGAAGACTCAGATGAATCACAGGGATGTTAGGAAATATTTCCTCAGTCACAGAGTTGTCAGGAAGTGGAATAGTCTGGGAAGTGATGTAGTGGAGGCAGAATCGATACATAGCTTTAAGAAGAGGTACGATAAAGCTCATGGAGCAGGAAGAATGACCTAGTAGCTACCAGTGAAGAGGCGGGGCCAGGAGCTGTGAATCGACCCCTGCAACCACAACTAGGTGAGTACACATACACACACACACACACACGCAGGGTCCATACATAGCTTTAAGCAGAGGTATGATAAAGCTCACGGTTCAGGGAGAGTGACCTAGTAGCGACCAGTGAAGAGGCGGGGTCAGGAGCTTGGACTCGACCCCTGAAACCTCAACTAGGTGAGTACATATATATATATATATATATATATATTTTATATATTATATATATATATATATATATATATTATATTTTATATATAAACCATACCCCCGGCCGGGATTGAACCCGCGGTCATAGAGGTTCCAGAGGTGGTTCCTCTCTTTATCATATAAGTCTGTCCGAATTGATGTGTATCCCATGGGCTTTTCAGAATTGTTTAACGCCTTTAAATAATAGTAATAATGGGCTACTCACTGAGCGTACAGAAGAATCACCTTGACCAACTCTTCACGTATACTGCTGAGCTCTACCAGGAAGGAGTCCTTGCCAGGAGTGAACTCAGTGACTGACACCAGCTGTAACACCAAGTTATATACATTATTCACATGTTATTCTTTCCCCAGCTGCACATCCTGATGCAGATATATTGATGCCGCCGCGACAAACACGGCCAGCTCCCTGGACCCATTATATGCCTCTCTTATCCTTTGACTACAGCCCATAGGATGGTTGTGGGGTACATCATAAATATATTAAACTAACTAACAAGCTGGTACTCACCTCCCCTCAAGGAAGGTTCCTTGATGTTGGTGAGGGGCTCTTGATTTAGGGAATTGGATCTGTGCTCCAGTTCCCCGAATTAAGCCTGAATGCTTTCCACATCCCCCCCAGGCGCTGTATAATCCTCCGGATTTAGCGCTTCCCCCTTGATTATAATAATAATAATAATAATGGTACTCACCTTGATGCCCTTGTCGTCATCCCTGTGCTGGGCGAGGCTCTGGAAGCGAGTGTAGAGGGCACGACCGTCACCGTCTGAGGAATGCAGGAGAATCACCTGACGGTACTGCAACTCCTTCAGGAGGTGTACCCACACGTCTGCCTGCTGACTGTACGGCGGCACTGTCCTCAGCAACGACAAGTGGATGTTCTGGCCATTACAAACACGTGATGTTAGTATAGTATGGAGGTGGGATCATCCTCCATCCCCCTCGCCCTCCCCAGGTCAAAGCCTAGGAAAACTCCAGCGCCTGCTAGAAGCATGTAAATGCTGGATATAAGGTATCTAACTATACAAGACAGTTTCTAATGTTAAAAAAAAATATATGCCACGAGGTCAATGAGGTCTACATATTTACTTGCAAATACCTGTTACGACACTTTTTATTACATATTTTTACGAAGATCAATTTTACATGTTATCCTGCCTCAATTCATTTACAGGCTAAGAGTTGTTATCCTACTTCAGCTTATTTCAAAGCCCACCCCTATCTAAGGTATACTATACCACCCCCCGGATGCCACCCACAACAGTCGACTAACACCCAGTACCTACTTAATGCTAGGTGAACAGGGACAGCAGGTGTAAGGAAATTTCCAACATTTCCATCCGTGCCGGGAACGAACTGAGTGCGGTACCAACCTAGCCACGGAGCAGAGCCGGCCTTAGGAGGTGCGGGGCCCAATTGGGAACAATTTTGGTGACCCCCATGTAGGGAAAGCAATGAAACTGTGCGCTTAAAAATGCATGCGAGTTAATAGACCAAACAGATGTAAGCTACATTTTAATATAAAATTGCATATATGTAAGCCTACAAATAAACAAAATTTGTCGAAGTTTAAACTGCTAATTTCAGATTCAATGGACATAATCACCGAACTGTTCAAACGTTCTTGCTGAACTGATGATCCCAGTAAGTTTTGATCAGTTTCAGCTTGAAAAACTTTTTTCCAGATGCCTCTTTTGTTTTTGCTTCGTGTTGTTGTGTGTACGTGATAAGACGAGAGTAGATTACACTCTAGCGCCGGGCCCCCTTAGGCGTGGGCCCCCCTTAGGTGCGGGGCCCCTTTAGGTGTGGGGCCCCCTTAGGCGCGGGGCCCCCTTAGGCACGGGGCCCCCTTAGGCGCGGGGCCCCCTTAGGCGCGGGGCTCCCTTAGGCGCGGAGCCCAACTGGGAGCAATCGGTCCAATTGGCTTAAGGCCGGCCCTGCCACGCAGGGCCGGATTACCGTGTAGGCAAGCTAGGCATTTGCCTAGGGCCCCGCGCATTTGGGGGCCCCGCGGTCCAAGGGGTTCAGGGGCTCATCCAAGACTGCGCACATGGTGCAAGTGCAAAGGGGTCCCTACCTAAAAAGTTCAAGTGTTTGGAGAGTAAAATTTATTTTTAAAAATTAATCAAAACAAAAATAAATAATGAAATAAAATAAAATAAAAATAAATAAACCTAACCATAGATGGCAACACTCAACACGCCTTTGTTTACATCAGAACAGCTGTGTTTTCCCGCTAATGGGTGAGTATGGGAGATTCCTCTCCAATTTTCTGTAGTAATTACACGTTATCTAGACTTGTACTGTGACAAATTAACTGAAGTGTTGTTGATAGACATTGATGTGTATGAATAAATGTTTGTTTTCGCCTCTAAACGTTAAGGGAGGTACCTGATAGGGTTACTTACCAGTTAAAGACGCAATGGACCAGTAAAGACGCATTTTTGGTAAAAAAAAACTATAAAGAAAAAATTAAAACGCAAACTGACTTCCGTTTTGTAGTTTTAAAAGCACTTTGTCCTGTCTTTAAATTTTTATCATTTCAATAACAGATCTCAATTGGGCTGATTTCTACATCCTTCCGTTTGCCAAATGCTTAGTTTTCAAGTTGCGACGGAGTGATGTAAGAAACATCAATTTTTTTACTCTATTTCCCCGAAACACATAAAGCCCCCCTCAGAAATCGTGGTTGGGTGAAAACTAAAATTGTCCCTGCATTTCTTTAATTCTCATGTCTTATCTATGGTGGTGGCCATTATCATGCAAAACATATGATTAGTTTAGTTATGAAAATGGTAATATAAATACATTGTGCATTGTTCTTGGACTCAGTATGATTTCTGTTTAAGTAAAATTTGGGGTCAAGGAGGGTGAAATTAGTAAAATATTCGACCCAATCACTAACCTAACTATGGGAAAAGTTTCTTCTTATATGACTCCTTTCTGGTAACGGTTTAATTTTAGATTTCGCAGCGAGGAAAGGGGGTCAAGGGCCATATCCCCCCAATTGCAAAAATTTTTTTAATAATAATAAAAAACATTAATAATAATTGATAATGAAAAATTTTATTTGTATGGGTTACAGACAGTGATACTCCCCATTAAAGGCATCTCGTGAAAGGGGATTTGGACGTTCTTATGCAAATGGGTCACATAAAAGAAAGAAGAAAATTCAAAAACAAAAAAGAGAGATGTAGGAAGCTGAAGAAAGATCAGACATGCTCACGGAAAAGTTTCTGATGTCACCAGTACAGTTGAAATCTGCAGATACGTCAGATCAAAACAGGAAAGCCTCCCTCCATTTTTCTCAGCCAGCCATCTATTCTTTTGTGTCTCCTCTCAAGTCTCAACGGACATTTCATCCACAGGAAATTTGTCTTAAAAGATCCTTCCTCATGGCCAAATGTAATCCCAGATTCTTACGTAATGCTTTCATTGCAGAAAACTTCAAATCTCTGAACATTGACTTTAGGAAATCAGCAAGGATTTAAAGATGATGGAAGTCGTCGTTGTTTTTTAAAATCATCTATGTTTATTAGGAAGCTTGCAAATTCAGAAACTGTGAAAAGATCATGGATGGTATACTCTGAAAGCTCAGGAAAAAGTGTATGTTCAGCATGCAAGCTATTTTCTACCAAAGAAAATACCTTCACACAGTGTTCAATGACTGGAAAAAAATTCCAAAACGTTTCGAGGAACATGAAAACAGCACCACTCACAGGAGCTGCATTTTTTGCCCGTGTATTTCGTGCACAGAAAAAAGGCCCTTTTTGGATTCTCATTTGGAAAAATTTAAACTGAAAAAGAGCGCATTATTGGAGAAAAGTTCTAGAAAGAGTTGTTGCTGTTGTAAAATTCTTAGCTCTAAGAGGACTGCTTTCCGTGGAAAAAATGAGGTTTTTGGTTCGGAAAACAATGGCAATTTCCTAGGGATCATAGAACTGTTAGCACAATTCGATCCATTCTTAGCAAATCATGGTCACGCCTTGGGAATGCAGGAAGAGGCACTGTATCTTACATGTCATCTACTAAAATTTCAATGAATTTATTGAACTGATGACTAAGAAGGTCCTCAATAACATCCATAGCAGCTGTGAAAACTGCAAAATACTTTTCAATAAGTGTAGATTCAAACACCAGATATTTCACATACAAAATCAATTGACATTCATTGTTCGCTTTTCGACCCCGTGGTAAGCCTGTGAGCGCTTTATAAAATTCATTCCTCTTTCAGGCCATGATGGAGAAACAATGATGAATGTAAATACTGGATACTCTGCTTGAACTGATCTCTCTATTATGGATTGCCGTGGCCAGAGCTACGACAATGCAAGTAACATGTCGGGTAAATATAATGGGATTGCAAGCCCCTATCAAGCAAATCAACCCACTTTTCTGAATATGTGCCCTGCTCAGCACATTCTCTTAAAACTTGTTGGGTCAGTTTCTGCGGAGTTGTTGGTCGCTTTCAGTTTCATTTTTTTTTGGGGCTTTTACAAGCACTCTTTAACTTTTTTCTTGCTTCAACGCATCGGTGGAGTATACTCAAGTCAAAACCCTTCATGGAGATGTCATCAAATCATTATCAACAACAAAGGTGGTCAGCGCAGCATGATGCAACATGTTTTTAAAGACAGCTTTGCTGAAATACGTTTCTGCTTTGATCCAAATAGCAGAGGATGAAGGGCCAGACAGCAACTACAAGAAAGCGAAAGCAGCCAGCTTAGCATCAAAATTGGAAAAATTTTGAATTGGCCTTACTCTGTGTGCTTTGGGACTGTATACTGGAACGGTTTTTAAAAGCCACGAACAAGACACTTCAGAAAATTGAAATTGAAATGGCTACTTGTGCTAACCTCTATGCAGGCTTAGTGGAAATTTTTTAAGCTCACTTCGCAATGATGAAGCTTTTGAAATGTTTTGAAGGGGAAAGCTAAACTGCTGGTGAAAGACTACAGTTACCGGGCTGATCATCAGCGGTCAAGGAAGAGGAAACGCAATTTTGAAGAGCCAGACAATGAAATTGTGTTGCTACCAAGGCAGAAAAAGGGAAGACGCTACATACTTCGTCATTCTGGATTCACTGATTACAGAATTGGTGGAAAGAAAAGAAAAACTACCAGAATCTCAATGACAAGTTTGGATTTCTGTTCAAAATTACTACTATGCCAGATGCAGAATTGAGAGGAAGCTGCATTAAAGTTGCAACAAAAACCTTTCAGCAGATGTTCAGGGCACATTTGTTGAAGAAATAGTTCATTTTTCTGGGTATATGAATCAGATTAAAGCTCCACCCGAAAAATGTGCGCCCTCAGCTGCTTTGAAACATTTAAGGAAATGCAGGTATCTCAAAACCTTCCCTAATGTTGACATAGTGTATCGCCTTTACCTAAAACTCCAGCTACTAACTGTGAAGGAGAACGTTTATTTTCTGTTTTGGAAAAGAGTGAAAAAACCAGCTCCGTTCAACAATGAGCCAAGACAAATTGGGGTACCCTAGCCTTGTTGACCTTGAGTCTGATCTAACAAGAAATATTGATTTTCAGAATATAATTTATGATTTTGCCAATATGAAATCCAGAAAAAAGTTTTTTTTAAGAAGTGCCTGTGAATATAAACAATTCTTTACTTTCTTGAGTTTATTTTAATTTGATAGTGTTATGTATGATGCAATGATAGCAATAATGGTCAGTGATTTTTAAAGGGAAATAATAGTGCTGTAGTGGTTATGTGAATATAATAGGTACATGATGTCACTACTTTAATAGCCTAATCTAGTAATACTATGCGTCTTGAGTTTATTCTCTTTAAAATGCATGATTTAACAAGATAGTTTAATGGCTGGGTTTGGGAAATGGTTTGGTTGTTTTATGTACTTTCCCCATTAATTTAATCTAAATAGCCAGAATGTATTTAATTAGACCTT